AGTAATAGGATAATAAGAGCATCTGTGGTTGACAAATTCACAAGCATCACAAACAAAAATTGTCTAATACAATGCTTTATTAGACTAGGAAAAATATGCTCTAAAACACCACATAAAGGATGTCCCAAACATCTGTGCCACTGATGTAAGATCTGAAGTGTCGAAACACCATCTGTCTGGAGAGCCTAACAAATAGACCGAGGGAAAGCTTTATCATCCAGGATATACAGACCACCATATGTTCTATTATTGCCAATTGTTTTCTCCGACTCCAATTCTTGAAGGATACAATTAGTAGGAAAAAAGGACATTGAACAGTTCAAGGATTTAGTAATACTATTAACAGACAAGTTAGTAGAGAAATCGAGAACATGAAAAACAGAGGATAGAGCAATTAATTGAGCCTTTCCCAGAAATTAAGGATAAAGATCCACCCGCCACCTTGACTTTATCTTTACCTGAACATGTAGAGTATGAAGAGAAAAGACTAGAAGAACCAGTCATGTGGTCAGTGACTGCAGAGTCTATTATCCAAGGAGCAGAGGAGTATGATATAGTAAACACAGTAGATACACTTGTACGAGTAAAATTGGAGAAAGATGCATGATTAAGAGTTGTGTTAGAGGAAACATCAAGACGAGCCATCATACTCCAAAGAATGTGCATCTCATCCTGAGAAAATGTAGGTGGTGTGGTGCCACTAGACTAAGGTGGAGGCTTTGAAGATTCAGTTATATGCGTATTATATCGCACATTACCACCTCGGCCACTACCTCGTTCATGTGTAGGACGTTCAGTCAATTTCCAACAAAACTATCAGGTATGCCTTGTCTTCATACAATAATCACACTTTAAGGTATTCTTGGCAGTAGTGCCACTCGACTCAGGAGACTTGAATTGGGATGAACTCAAGTCTCGCAAAAGAATAACAGCTAACTCAGACTGCTCCTGAATAGGTGCATGAATCATAGCAATACTTTTGTTCTCCTCCAACTGGATTTGGGTATAGGCTTCCTGTAAAGTGGAGAATGGTCTGTGACACAAAATTTGAACCCTAATCTGATCATACTCAATAAAAGTCATGTACGTTCATCTCCACTATTTGGTGAAATTTCACAGCATCTTTGGTACAATCTGCGTGGAAGCTTTGGTAGTATTCAAGCTCCTGTCACATAGTAGTCAACTCTGCATAATAAACTGCAAGGGTCCTTATTTTTCTGATTAACTTTCTTTCAAAGATCATAAGTCTTAGTATCATTGCCCCGTTGAGAATATGTATGGGACATTGCAATTTAAATTTTATGTGTAGTATCAAGTAATGGAAAACCATGACTGATAGATGGTTGCATTGAGTTGAGTAACCAAGACGTTAACAAAATATTTTCAGATGTCCACGACATTAAAGGGGTGACTCACTAGGCTTTGTAGTCTCCCCCGTCCAATACCCATCCAACACAATAGCTCGGACTGATAATAGGCAAGCTTGTGACCATGCCAAATAGTTATTCTCATCCAATTTCTCTGGGCTAATTTGGAGAGATGAGTTATTTGCAAGAGCCACTAAACGATTCACTCCACTTCCTCCAGTATTGGTAGATGTCACACTAGCTTCTGTCATATTCTCACAATAACATTAACACAATTGTAGGCAGAATCAACGAAACACAACCCAAATATGCTGCAAAAACCAAAAAAATTCTCCAAAAAAAGCCAAATAATTTTAGCAAATAGCAGATATTCTGTGCTATACCCAAATATGCTGTAACCCAAATGTTCTATGCAATACTTAGATGTAGCAAATGGGATAAGGATAAGCAGCCTTTGTGTAACAACCAGAGGCAAAACCAAGGATATATATGACAAAAAATAAGCTGTCGGCATCAAGATCTAGCGAAAGACCCTCACAAATCTGATTCAAATGCACCAAAAGCTATGGGTATTACATATTAGTACTAGTCGAGCCCAATCGAGCAAAAGCTATACACAAATCTATTAGGAAAAGCAGATCGCGACGATGAACTGGAAAAGAAAGAGATACATTCGAAAATTTGAAAAACCTGTTGAGTGGCTTCAAAAAATAATCATAATTCTCAAGAGACCAATTCAAATCTATCCATGTAGTTTCGAAAATTTCTAACATTGTTCGTCGTTGACGCCAGTCGGTCAAATACTAACGTTAGAATGTCAGAATCTGACAGTGACCAGTGCAGTTTATTGTAGAAGATTCCGATGGGTTTCAACAATTTTGAGATGTTAAATTTGATCATGCTCTAATATCAAGTTAGATTATGACACAGTTAGGGTTTCGAGAAGAGAGGAAGAGGGAGAATGAGAAAATATGAGAAGAGAGTGGTGTGTTATGGTACATAGCTACATCCGAATATATAACCTCAAAGTACTAAAAATAGCCTTAAGGGTTACATCCTATGTAACATAATTGTACGCGGTGATTTTTGCATAATAAATAAAAGGGACAGATCTCTCCTTTGATGAAAACGGGGTTTACCTGAAAGTTGAGGATCCCGAAACAAGAGGGAGTGAAAAAGGCCCTAAGGAGTTGTGATGAATGGTTTTTCCAGTTGTCCACGCGACTCCGACGAACCGAGAATGAACCTGTCACTCAAAACAGAGAGTTAGAAGGGTGCCAGAGTGTTTTTTGGCATGACCCCTCCGACAGTCAAGTCAGTATATGTGAGAGAAGGGTGAAAACATTGTTGTATTGCTGAGAATTAGTCTTGCGTACCTTTGCTATTTGTTTGTGAAGACTATTTATACCTTTATGAATGTAATCATTGCAGACAGGTGGGCCTTCTCAAGCGGAAAGTCCCCCATTGGCCCATTTGGTAGGCAGTAGGCAGTGGTGCTTAGTCCTTGAGCAGAGTGCCTCCTGTTTTGTGTGAAAGGACTATGAGCATTAACTGTTTGGACTCCCGAGCATTTAATGCTCTTCCCTTTGGAATCTCCCAGCAATAAATATGTCACATCCCTTTGAGGGATCATTAAATGCCTTCTTGTGATGGTTGCGCACGAGTAGGGGCATCTTTGTCTTTTGTTCCCTGATTATGTGCTCTCTGCCACGTGTAATGTTGTCATTGGGTGTAGGTCTGTTCCCCTTGCCATTCTGACTGTTTTGAGAAGAGAAGTCAATGATTATTGACTAAGTTTAATTCCAAGTAACGATACTTGTCATTCTAACATCTCTGCCTTGGGGTACTAGAGCCGAGGTGATGTGTTTGAAATTGGTCCTCGGAATCAGTCTTCATGCTGAAGAAATTTGTCAATCGCATATGGATTCGGGGGGAGAATTGAGCCGACGGCACGTGTCACACTCTGAGTACTCCGAGGGACTTTGTTGCCTAGGACACGTGTCACTATTCTAGAAACCCCGAGGAACCATGGTGCTGAGGACACATGGCACAATTCCAGTACTCCGAGAGACCTTGGAATGCCGACGACACGTGTCAATTTTTGTGCCTCCATGTCCCTTGCGCCGAGAACACGTGTTGGCTATTGGCTGACTCTTTGAAGTGTCCCATCAATAACCTAACATAATAGTTTATAATTTCATGATAGACCTTTTCAACCTATAGTTGGTTTAATTGATGAAATTGATTAGATTTGGTCTTAATTTGGGAATTGAATTAGCTTAATTAATGTAATTGATTATATGAAATTTTTAGGCCAAATTTAGCTTAATTGATGGAATTTTAGGTTGAGTTGTCGTAATTAATGAAATTTGTCTGATTGGGTCTTAAATCAGTTAATTAATGTAATTAATTTTTCAATTATCAGATTTACTTCTATTTGTTCTGAAGTTGATGATATAATTAATTAATTTAATGAAATGGATTAGATTTTGTTCCGATTTACGAAGAACTTTAACTTATTTAATGTGCCTATTTCGATTTAATCTTGATGTAAGTATTAATTGAATAAATTGTTCTATTATTTAAGTAATTTGGAGAGGCAAAATTATCTTTTTATATGATAGTTTGAGTACAAAATTGTCTTACAAGTACTATTCCTGCACTACATAGGCATTCCTGGAATTATTAGAATTTTTGGCTGACAAGCATTTATCACTGCATTCTGTAATGTTTGTTGGGCAGAAGCTGATTGTGTGTCATTACTTACAATTGTCAAGGGGTCGTTGTGCCATTAGTGAAATGTTAGGGTGGCTCATGATGAACTTACCCAATTGTTTATATGAATGCCAAATTGAAATGGCGTAAAGAATATGCATCTCGCTTCTCCAATCTGTTCCATACAAAGTTATTGTTTGTTGCCAAAGGTCATTATGTCTTCACATCAAATTTAGGTTGGATTCCCTCTGGCCTTCCTATTTAAGAAACGTCATTGTGTGCATTAATCATGCAAATCCAATGCTCCATATGTAATTCTTGACCATTATTTTTGAAATATATGAACTAAAGATGGTTATATACCCGACCAGACTATTTAACATCCTCCGTATTAAATTCCTATGTCTTTCATGGATTAGACTGATCACGACTGATCTGTGAAAACTACTGACACCAATCATTTATGTTGCTTCTTTGATAGAGAATTATGGTATAATTCATTTTAACCTGGTATTCTGATCCTAATTTATTGCACTTGCAGAAGTGTGAGGTATTTTATTTAAATATACTTTGATTAGAACGTGCTGTTTAAAGTAATAATACGAAATATTGTCCAACAATTATATTTGAATTCTAAAGAATACATTTTAGTAGACTTAATCTAGTAAACTTTCTCTTGTTCTTTTCGATACTGGTTGTCCTTTTGCTAGGGTTATACACTTCCAGTGCCATACTGCAGTTGTAGTGAGTCATCTGTTATAAGGCGTATAGCTTTACAACAGAAACCTTTTATGATTAAAAGTTGTGAATTTTATAAAATCTTTTTTACTTGCAAAAAAAAAAAGAAAAAGAAAATTAGCTCCACAAGAGCTGCCATTGGTTAACCCAGTCTTGAGGGTTTGTACCAGTATTTGGAACATGAAGAGGGTGCCATTTTTCCATGACATTGGTGAACAATCATAGGTGGTAGGAGATAGGAGTAATTTATGTATTGTGAGGGTTATTCAGGGCACGAGGTGGAGTTGTGGTGGGACAAAGGGACATGGGGTTTCAAGAACCAAGTAATAATCACGATGCTTTTGATATTTCTGTTGTGTTTGTTTTTGTTTGATTGTAAAAGTATTTTCTTTCTATTTTTGATTAGATCTCATATTACTTTGATATTATGGAGTGATTATATAAGGTTAAATTTCATCTTTCAGTGTGTGGAATGGCATGCAAACTGCAACTACATTGCAACCGGATCTAGTGACAAAACTGTTCGTTTGTGGGATGTACAGAGTGGGGAGTGTGTTAGAATTTTTATCGGTCATAGGAGTATGATTTTATCCCTGGCAATGTCACCTGATGGTCGGTACATGGCATCTGGTGATGAAGATGGCACAATAATGATGTGGGATCTCTCGACTGGTCGTTGTGTTACTCCTTTGCTGGGTCATACTTCCTGTGTCTGGACACTTGCTTTCAGGTTGGATTCGTTTCTTGATATCGATAAAATTTTCCATAAAATACTTCAAATCATTGGAAATATTGTAAGACTGGGCTTTTTGGTTGAATCAATTGATAAATTTCTTGCCTTGAATTAATGTTTTCTGTTTCAGCTGCGAAGGTGCACTTCTTGCGTCTGGTTCTGCTGATTGCACTGTGAAGTTATGGGATGTGACAACAAGCACAAAGATGCTAAAACTAGACGAAAAGTAAGTTTCTGAAATGAAAATTACCTAGCCCTATCTCTATTTTTTTTTTTAACTGTTGGGGAGATTTACGAAAAATAATTGTGTTTTTGGTCAGCAAAAGTGGAAATGCAAACAGACTCAGATCATTGAAGACTCTACCTACCAAATCCACTCCAGTCTACTCTTTGCAGGTAAATATGCTGAATGACTCAATTTTTGATTTTTTGGTATTATTTGCAGAAAGTTGTTCCAAAATATTGGTGTATATTCCTGGAACAGTTCTCAAGAAGGAATCTTCTCTTTGCTGCTGGGGTTCTCTCAAAAACTGCATGACTTGGCTATCTGATGATAAACAACTTTACTCAAGATGATTGCATTATATAGGGAGGCATGTACAGATTTTGCTGTACTGTGCCATGTGCTTTAAGTGGTACCGCTCTTGCAAATTGTGTTGTGTTATTTCCAGACAAATATGTTTTAAAAAGTTAGGCAGCCTAGTAATTTTACTTTTCCTGTTTCCTCTTTCTTCCTCAAATCCATTTATTGTATTAATTCATGGTTAGTTTAGCTGCATCAATGTGTTCTTAGTTTATGTTTCAAGATAGCACAGTTCCCATGATTCCGGAAAATTGTATATTAGTTGCTTCCAATTGAACTCTGTTCACTAAAATGGCTGCAGTATAACACAAGATTGAGTCGTTCTATGTTCTGTTAGTTTTCTTGACTATATATGTTAATGTGGCGCTGCCTGAATTGACATGTTTCGTTTTGAGTAAAATTGAAAATAGAGGATCTCTGTCTGATTTGCGGATTTTCTCGGATTTTTTGGACGCCTACACCATGTAAATATGCAAAGCATGAGTGTCTATTGGTATAAAGAATGACTACTATGCATACACGAGATTCTTTTGTACAAAGCCTATTCATAATCACAAAATTTATTATTTTCTTTTTCGTAAAATGCCTCCCAGAATCACTTGTTTGGCCTGAGTTTCAAATGCTAGCACACGGAATGAAGATTTTTTTTTCTCTCTTTGGGTTGATGCTCTAAACAACCTGGTTTTCGCTGAAAAAAAAAAACTTGATTTTGAAACACGGCGTTAACTCTTGACCAAATAAAATCGTATATGAAAACGTGTTGGGTAATTATTTTTATTTTTTTGTATCATATTAGTTGTCTTGGAAATAAGCCAAATAAATGGGAACAAAAAATTGTGTTTCACAAAACACTCGAAACACGAGAGACTAACGTAGCCCAGCTGAAAATTTTCACGAGGTCTTGGATTCTGTCTTCATTACTAACAAAATGTGTTATTTTTTGTGGAAGTATAAAACATGATTTCAAGCCTCTCTATCTCTCTCTCTCTCTCTCTACACGAACGAAGACGAACCAATGAGTTTGTGGGTCTGTGTGGTGCGATGGCATGGAAGAAGATGATATATCTGTCGCTGTGGAAGAAGCCAGTGCTCCCTCTCTTTAGATGATGCTCTTTGTGAAACCCAGAAGACGATGCGCTCTCTCTCTCTCTCTCTATGAAATCCAAAAGACGAAGATGCTCTCTATGTATATATACATATATATACACAGATATGTGCATATCTACACAAATTTGTGCATGTGTGTGTAAGTGACGAGTCTCTGTGTGTGTTGTGTTGAGTTTGTGTGTCTGAGTGATCTTTGTATGTGTGTTATGTTGTGTTGTGTGTGTGTGTATTGTGTTCTGTGTGTGTATTGTATTCTCCGTGTGTATTATATTGTGTTTGAGATTGATTGCCATTTGGTATTGATTGAATTGTTATTTGGATTTGTTGAATTTTCATTTAGAATTGATTGAATTGTCGGATTAAATTATCATTTGAAATTGATTGAATTACCATTTGGGATTTAATTGAATTGCCTTTTAAGATTGATTGAATTGCCATTTGAGATTGATTTTTTTTTTTTTGGGCTAACAAACTAATGAGTAAATTGAATGAGTTTGATGGTCTTTGATGGATTAATATGAATTGATACTATTAAAAATTGTATCAAACATTAAAAAATAAATAATGTGTCGTATTGAAAATCATTGGATATGTATGAAAGTTGTTAAAGACTTGGTAGTTCATGTGTGATTCGTCACAAATGGATTTTTTTTTTATTAACATGAAAACTAGGGGTTTTGGACTTACTTCTACATAAACAAGGGCCCGTAAAGATGAGAATCAACTTTTTTGGGCTGTAAAGTCCAAGTATTTATATTTAGTATATAATTTAAAGTAGTTATCGAATATTTTTTTTGTTTTTATTATCATAATTTGACAAACACAAATGACTCCCAAATATATTTTTTGTTTTCAGTGTTCATTACGAAACATAGACAAAGATTGTTTTTGTTTTCGCATTCATTGAAAATGCGAAAACAAAAACGTTACCATATAGACCCTAATTTTCTCATTTTATTGTGCAAAATTTTAAAACATTAGTTTTCAAAAGTGCATTCATTTGAAAAATTATGTTCACAGGTGCATGGAATTAGGAAATAAGTTCAAATGCATATGGTTTAGCTAAAAAACAATTTACATCACTGTTGATGTTAGCAACATAAAAAAAGTATGAATCCGTATCTACATTCTCTTCAAACCCACTTGAATTCAAAACAATTAATGTTTTTTTGACTTGCACGTCATATAATTTACGAATAAAAAATTTGAGAGAAAATATACAAAAAGAATTCAAATCATAAATCGTATTCTCAACCTTTTTTGGGTGCAAAATTGAGAATTATAAGTATGGACGACACTGCATTGATGGCCAAACATTATAAACTGCCTCCATAATATTTCGTCTAACCTGGCATTCAATACAATTGTTATTCAATTCCATTGAGGAATCATACATTATAAATGAGAGAAGAACCTACTTATATACAATGCATGATAAATGATCCATGAAGAATGAAATTAAAAAGAAAATACATTAAAGAGGATCATCTCTCTGTGTCCCTTCTCTTGTTCATTAACATTTTTTTGGTAATTTTCTATAACATTTGCTTTTTAAGTGTATCCGGTTTTTCCAAAATTTTCTTTTCTGGACTTCATCTTTCCAAGTTTAATCTAATGGATAATAGCGTACATATACATATATAAGCACACTACTTATCTACTAAAAATCATATAGATCAATTTTACTATATGATTATCAAATTTATTTTCGGTTTTACGACGAAATTGGTTTCGTTTGCTCATAAAAAATTAATTCAAAAAAAATGTTGACAAAAGCAACTTTGACACCCCTAATACTGAGATTCATCAATACAATAAGAAAGAAAAACACACAGAACCCTTGAATTGGTAGATAGACTAGCATTCTTTGACAAAAAAGCCAAGGGTAGGGTTTCGCCCTTGTTTGTATTGCAACATGAAGTTCACCTGCCAAAAACAATTTTCCTTCAATTTGGAACCCTACATGCAATTGAGTTTCCCTCAATATGGTGTGGCAACAAATATTACTGGCCCTATTTGAACCCATTAGTGAGACCCGATGAATTTAACAATGGATGATTCAAACTGACCCAAGTGTTAAACTGAAGGGATCCGGATCCTCCATTTCTCATCATCTTGAACCATATCATAGTACGGAGGTCTATTATCCTTCCTAAGTAGTCCCCACCAATGTCTCAATTTTTCCATTGCTCACATTCTTCACATTATAAGCAACTGCTCTCATCGTCGTCGCTGTCATCATTGGCATTAGTCCTATCCTGAAAGAAGGCGTTTCATAGTATTGTATCAACACCTGAACATTGCTATATACAAGTCCATACCTCATATTTGAACATTGAATACTAAAATCATATATCTAGCAGCAAAGCACTAACATCTCCGCACACTGATTTTTTCCTGGATTCAGTCAAGAAAAGGATTTCTTTGCTCTTCTTTCAAAGTAGTCTTGATGACAAGAAGTTTAAGCCTTACGAAACTTGTTTTTTAAGCACTCGGTTCCTTCCTCTTAATCTAAGTGTAGTTTACTTTGTCAACTTGAAGCACTTAGTCGAGCTGATGGCGAGATTAGAGGTTCAAATGGAAGAAAGAGGAAGCATTGACCAATGGTGCTTTTACAAAAGTATGGTCGCTGGTGGCTAATACCTTCTCGACACAGTAGAACCTGAAATTCACTCTCAATTCGGTTATGTGGGTAGAGATAGTTGTTGTCCACTGGACTTAAGGGATGCATTCCTACCCACAGCACTGTCCAATGAATTTAAATTGCTAAAACTGCTCAAACCTGAGACCATGAAACACAAACACCAAAAAAAAAAATCTTAATTTTTTACAAAAAAAAAAATTACGAGGCATGTCATTACACCCCAAGGTACTAAAAAAATTGGATGAAACACAATTCAAAATCATGGCAGAAGTGAAAGTTTCAGTTGGTTTTTTTTTAAAAAAGAGTGCCATCTTGAAATTCTACAATTTTATTTTTTAATTATAATCTTCACATGTGATCATCATTCAAAAATAATAATTTTCAGAAAATTCATGTACTTTTCTCAAACTCAAAGGACATGATACACAAATGGACATTCGACAACTGCAAAAAAAAAATAGCAATGGAAATTCGATGCACCTGCAAAATCCTTCAATGCTGAGCTGAAGCAACAATAACATTACTCAATCATTTGCAGTTCCTGATTCGTACTGCATTCGAAGTCCTATCTTCAAAGTTCAAAAAGCACGACTATAGAAGAAAAATACAAACCAAGAATAAATGGTAATAACTTATGAGAAAAAATTTACCATGCACAGAAAGTCGATCTGCCAAAAGTATTCTTTGACATTTTGGTTTGCAATTTCTGCTACACTTGGAAATGAATAGCTAACAGCAATGCATGCAAAAGCCTCGAACATTTTTTTTCTTACCTGTGAGGCCTATAATGACACAGATATCCAAACTTCAGTTTCCAAAAATGGAAACATTTATATTAGCTATGGATGAGTTAAATTGATGTATGAATCAGTGCACAAGATCGTTCATCATTTGAGTTCACAAGAAAGAGAACCTTCCACGCACAAAAGAAAGAAAGAAAAAAAGAAAGAGAAAAAGAAAGAACGGTGATGAGAGTCCAAAAGTCGATCTACTTTATCAATCTTATCCCCGTGTGGGAAATGCATCCAAAAGTCAGAAGTATGTAGTTCCTATATATTGATGGTAAAGCAAAAACAAATCACCAATTGCATTTCTACCATTACAACTAAACATGTATATAAAGGCAGAGTAGAGTGCATGCAAATTTAATTTAATGAGTGAACCCCAAGAAAAGAGGGATTGATGATGCTTCCAATTCACCATC